GTGTGAGTGTGAGTGTGAGTGTGAGTGTGTGTGTGTGTGTGTGTGGTGGAGGCAACCAATCCATGTCTCTTATCACGTTGATATTTGTTTCTCTCTCCCTCTCCCCACCTCCCTCCCCTCCACTCTCCCTAAAAATCAGTGGAAAAAATATCCTCCTGTGAGGATTGAAAATAAATAAATAATAATCTTAGAACGGCTGCATTTAGTGAGCGGTTACCAGGGTAGTGTCATGTAAGTGGAAAGGGTGTTTAAGTCAAGATGGCCTCCCCTAGACTCTTTAGGTCAATTACCTTAACCTGAGTTTTCTAAATGGTTAAAAAAAATTTTTTTTCTTGCTTGCAAAACAGTTAACACAAACATTACTTTTCCAATAATCTAAACTAAATATGCATTTTTTATTTATTTTTTAACAGGGAGAAGCTTTGTTTTTGTCCACTTCTGTTCCGAAATGGTACATGGGTCAGAGGCTAGCTGCAGAGGATTGAATGCAGAGCAAATTTTTATTTTTAATAGTCCATGTTATGTTTGTCAAATGAATCAGCCACAAAAGACTATTTGAAAATGAACAGTGAAAAATAGGAAATTTAATAAAGTACCCTGGACGCTACATAATCTGTTAACTAATTCAACTTCTCATCTGGCCTGATTCTAGCAGCACTCCATCCTGTGATTAAGTGCTTTGGAAGAAAATATTCAGGATATAAATGTACCTTAAAGGCCTCCAAATATGGCCCTCAGAAATCCAACTAGGATACCCTACAGATGTTGAAAAAAGTCTAAAATGAACAAATCCCTTTCCAGAGTTTTCAATAATTAAGTGTTGAGAATATTTCCAAAATGCCTTTCTGAGAACCAGTAACCATCGTATTTTTTTCCTCACCTAAGTTTACCATAGCTAGTATTTAGTAAATGCTCATTAACATAAAACGCTTGTAACTACATTCATTTTAACCCCCACAAATTGTAGTTATGCACATTAAAAATTTGGGGGAAGGAAAATTCATTAACACAATTTAACTGAGGTAACAAGGAGTTGGGGAGAATGGGAAGTTATTGGTTAGTGGCTCCAGTTTGGGATGTTGAAAAAGTTCTGGACATGGATAGTAGTAATGGTTGCATAACACTGAATGCACCTAATGACAAGGAATCTCACACTTCAAATAGTTAAAAGTTGTAAATTCTACACTATGTATGTATATGTTACAATTTATAAAAACGCGTGGCAAGTCAAATGTGCGCCCAGCTTTTCCCTCTCCTCCCCCAAGTGCTCTTCTTTCAGGTGACTGTAATCAGAATGAGTGGGTTTCACGGGGGAAGATCATGCTTCAAGGAAATTTAAAAAACCGAGGACCCGAGACAGAGCCCCAAGCAGGACTCAAAAAGATGACGGAGTTTGGAAGAGGGTGGCCAGCCAAATGATGGAAAATCTCCGCCTAGAACACGGAAAAGGATGTTTTCTCTTTTTCCTGTTTGTTTCTAAGGGTGAACACGAAGCAGCAGGCCCGACTGCTCTATGAATACCTCCTGCACACCTGGGGAGGAAGTGCGGGACGCGGCGAGGAACTGGAGCCCGGGC